AACTTTTGTCATTTTTTTTTTAATGCATCTTGCTGCCAACGCTCATTTAATTTTACATAAACACATTCTTTAAGGCCAAAGCAAATCTGACTGATTTTCAATGTGAAAATAAAGTATAGAAACTGTTGGAATTATTTCTAAATATTACTAAAATCAGAATCATCAAAATTGTCTGTTTTAGAAAAATCAGATTCATTAAATGAATCTTTAGCCAACAACTATTCAAGAATAATGTTAACATCATGGGTAGGCATGCTGTTTTCTAGGATTTAACATTTTCAGCAATCAAGAATATTTTGTAAATGGAAATTATCACTACTAAAAATAGAATGCTATGAATAGAATGCTATATTTTGTTTCCAAAGACAGTATACTAGAGTGATGCAACAATAATAATAAATGTAAGATATTTCATGGCAACATTATCTCTGAGTAAATGTTGCCGTCACAGTGCCATCAGTGAGCATTCTCAGGGCAAATGGAAAAGGGTTAAAACTTTTAAAATCTACTCTCACGGACACGCAGGACAAGAAAGCCAGGATCTAATGAACATGCCTTGTCTTCCTCACCTCTGGTTCTGAGGACCAAGTCTTCAGATGCCCTGTTTTCATCATCACTCAGGCTTTTCTCTCTTATAAAGCAAGATTTCTCCACCTCAGCACTATGGACATTTGAAGCTGGGTCATTTTTTGGGGTGGGAACCTGTCTTGTGTATTGTAGGATGTTTAGCGGCATCCCTGAGTACTAAGCATTAGATGCCAAGAGCATCTGTGTCCCAGTGTGACAACCAAATGTGTCTCCAGACACCACATGGCTCCTGTATAAGAGCTCATCCCCTGACCTAGATGACCACTTCGTTCTTCCTTCCTGCCAGTATGATGGAAACTTCCTTCTCCATAGAATATTCTCATGCCACCTTCCCACCCATCTTCAATCCTTTCGTCTCTGCTTCCAGGCGAGAGTCACTTGTCCAGTGTTTGTTGATGATGTAGCCATTGCTCAACTCACTGGGTCTATAGTCTGGGTGTCCCCAGGGTGCCATCGTTAAGGTCAGGCAAAAGGGAGGCAGGGATGTGGGAATAAGAAACACCTCCAGCATCTGGAGGCCGCCAATAAGCAAATACCTGAGAGATCTGATTCCAGTCATATATGCAATTTAGATACAGAAATCTTCTGGTATAATTGCTTATAATATTTAAAAATTACTAATGCAAAAAGAGAGAAATTGAGGTTGCACCTGTGTTATTTTCAAGAGAAAAATGTTAATTTTACATTTAATTAATAAATTAATTAAATTTAAAAAAATCTTAGCTGAGTCTGTTTTGCATTTGAATCAGAGTGAATGGCTTTTATGTTAACTAAAATCAATTCCATAACCACTACACTCAAGTAGGATGAAACAAAGTTAATATTAAGAGTGTATCAACATTTTCTTTTTCCGTGTATTCTGCCTTCCCTCTCCCCAACATACACTCACACTTAAACCCTAGGTGGTGACCACTAACTTGCTATCTTTGAATAAGGAGTTTTCGTTGTTTCTGTTTTTAGTGAAAATAATATACTGTAGCTCCGCTGTCCAGAGCCTAGTGAAACTCAAGCTTCAAAGACTTCACTTGAACAAGCTCCCTTCAAACCCTTTTAGGAGGCTTAGAAATGAATCAACATGTATTTAAAAAATTTGCACAACATGTTTTAACCTCAGACGATTAAGACTGCTTTCCCTCTCCACATTTATTTCCCTGCCATCACATTTCCTCTTATATCAAGTGGCTTTAGAACAGTTAAGAATTTTTTTTTTTTTAATTTAGCTACGGGGAAGTTAACTTTTGGAATATATTTAGTTTGGATTTAGTGAGATATATTTAAGTGGTTTGCAGTCACTTTCATTCATAATCAGGATATTGCTAGCCCTCCAAGCGTAGGATTGGTTTCCCAGAATATGTTCCAACTCACCGGGCAGCCTCGCAGAAAGGTATGGGGCCTGAAGTGGTGTCAGGGTATGAATTACAAATGTAACAGCTCTTAAAAGAAACTTAATAGGAATTTTTTTCAACTTGATAATAGTTTTCATGAGGTTACCAATTTTGAATAGTGAAGTTGAATACAACAGCTATAAAACGTCAACAGCAAAAAACAAATTTTAATCAACTATGCTACAGGGGAAATAGAATTATTTTTATATTTTTAATATATTTATAGTCTTTGTAAAAACCAATATTTTAAATTAAACATGAAAGCATTAAAAAGTGTATAGCAAAAACAAGTGTGTAAAAAGGTATATCATACAGTGAGTTAATTTAATATTGAGGTTATTTTTCTGGAACTTTCCATTTTTGTATAGTTTTTCAGCTTTTATAATTTGTAATTTATTGTGATTTCTCATTCTAAATAAATATTCTCTTTCATAGTAAAAATATATTTTGATGTAAAGGAATGGAGAAAGGAAAAGTTGCACTTAACGAGGATGTAAGGTTAAAGAAATACTTGAATGGGGATTACTGAGAATGAGGATGTGTCTAAATATGTTATTCATTTTTAATATTATTCTGCAAGATTTCAGTTTTATTAAAATTTATTAAGACTTATTTTGTTGGTCTGTAAATGGTCTACCTTCCTGAACATTCCGTGTGTACCTTGAAAAGAATGTGTATTCATTCATTAGTTGTATCAGAGTCAGACTAAAATACATGGAGACAAACCTCATGGCAAAATGTTTTTAGGAATGTATATACAAAATCAGAATTGCAATTTAGAACATAAGCACGGGCTCTGATGGTCTTCCGTGTGTCTGAAAAATAAAGAAAGTTAGGGAGTTTCCTTAGAAAGAGAAAGCACATTGGTAGATAAAACTAGTCTTAAAATCAGGGCAGGTCTTTTCAGCAGCTACTGGGTAAAACTGGTTTTAGGATTATGCCAGGCTGTTTCTTTATCTAGGCTTGCCGATAATCCTTGGAACAGGTGTTATGAGCCCAGAATGCTTTTTACCCCAGGTCCCTTAATTCTGATTCAGTTGGGTAAGATGTAAATGACCCAATCTGTATAATCAACTTTCACAGTTGTCAGGTTTAGTGTTTTATAAATGTCAGTTGTGTGAAATTGCATGATAGCGTTCTTAGGTGTTCTATATTCCTACTGATTTTTTTCTACTTGTGTCAATTACTGGGAGATGATTATTCCAACTATGATAGCAGATTGTCTGTTCCATTAGTTATGAGAAAATTCACATATTTTGAAGCTTATTAAGTACATCTATATTTAGGATTATTATATCTTCATGATAAATTGATCCTTTCATCATTATCAAATATCCTCCTTTAATCTCTGATAACTTATCCTAGAATCTATTTTGATTATAATATAGCATTGGTAACATTCCTGTCTTTACTGTTTGGATGGAATGCCATTTTTGTAAAAAAATTTTTTTTCAACTTACATATGGTTTAGTATTTTAAGTTTCTCTTAGCATATAATGGGATCATGCTTTTTGATCCAGTCTGGCAGTCTCACTATTTAATTGCATACTTTGTCAATTTATTTAAAATAATTATTGATATGGTGCTGTCAGACGGTTTGAGTTCCCCATGTCTTTCCTGTGTTTTGTTCTCCTTCCTGAGTTCTTTTGGGTTAAATATTTTTTATTCTGTTTTATTTTCTCCATTGACTTTGAGCAATACCTGTTTTGTTTCTTTAGTGGTGTGCTAGTACTAACAATATACATCCTTATTAAGGTATACTCACAGCTACTAATTGTACCACTCCTTATGTTACACTTGTTATTTCTCATGTCCTGCTTTTTCCTTCCCACTAGACAAATGTGGACAAATCTTACAATAGTGAAATTTCATTTACTCACTCCCCTGTTCTTTCAGCTGTTACATGTTTTATTTGCACATGTATTACAAACTCCACCATACATTACTACTTTTGCTTTAAACAGTGAGTTGTCTTTTAAGGAAACTAAGAGAAGGCTTCACTTATCTCTTCTTTAACTTATCATGGACATAAAATAGTTGTTTTATTCTCATTAGAAGTACCTTGCCTTTTTCAGATTTCTGCTAAGTTGGTTGCCCTGTGACTTCAGCTCTCTTACGGGTCAAGAAAAGTTTTGAGATTTACAGATTGTCAAACTTTTTGTTGTCACTTTTTTGAGCTTTCTATCTTCTAAGTGTAACTACTTTTACTTTTGACTGTGAATCATTATGCAGTGTCAATAACTACATATTTATTTATGATCCCTGTAAGTAAAATTAAATTCTATTTTATAAGTAAAATTGATGTATATTTTGTTAGCTATAACAAAGTCTGGAAGGCTAATAGGATCTATTTTAAACTTTTTTAAATTTTAGCCTGGGAGGCTAATAGGATCTATTTTTAAACTTTATTAAATGAATCAGATTTCTGTGTGAAAATTTTCAAAGAGCCCACTAATATATTCATAGCATCATTAAATTTCAGAGCCTTAAATTACAGAAACCATCCAGATTAAATGCTTCATTTTACGTGAGACTCTAATAACTTTTTTAAAACTGAGAGATCTTAGTTACAGAAGCTAAACAAAGACTAAACTGTACTTGTATCTTAATATGTTGATTTGTCCACACTATCCTTATTTGTGAGACTTCCATTTTGCACTTCTAAATCTTTATTTATAAAGTTTTCTTTCTAGGAGCAAACATCATTTTATTGTTTGGTAGAGAACAATATTACAATTTAAAGCAAAGCTGGGAAAGTTGATCTAGTTATCTGCAAAATAAGGAACTGATAGTACCTAACTAAAAAATTACTTAAGAAATTATATTATAAAACTTGAAGTATTTGTATACCTGATTGTTCTCTGGAAAAATTCAGGACTGTTGTTTGTCTTAAAATAGTAACTTGAACACAGTACTTTGACTTCCTGAGAGATAAAACTGTTGCTATAAAAAATTTAATTTTTATTTATATTTTGGTTTTATTATAAATGCCTTTGACTCTATAACTTTTTTTTTCTCTCATTTCAGGGAAGGCTTTCACTTACCTTTTTAACTTATCGTGGAAATAAAACAGCTGTTTTGTGGATTGGACTACAAGGTATATAGTATAAACAAACTATTTCTACTTAACTTTTTCCCTGTAATAATACAAATATCTGACTTCATGTATGTGTGTGTGTATACGTATGTATGTACACACACATACATATAAATGATTTCCAGTAGGTAGTACATTAATAGTAGTACAAAAATCTGTAGAATGAAGTTAGTCTTCCCCCTAGCAAAGTTTTTCCCAACTATCCCTTCCCTTTCCCTCCCATTTCTTCTATTTCTTCATTCTGCTTCGTAGCCCTTTACTGTCATACCTAGACCATTGCAGTAACTAACTGGTCTTCCTGCTTCTAGTTTCACTTATGTGACTTAAATATCTTAGCAGGTTAACTGTCTTAAATCTTGGCTCTTATCATGTTGCTTCTTACATAGATATGCTTGTTACCTAGGTTTCATTCTTACATAGGGAGAATTCATTCTCCGTGTAGCCCTCAGATAGTTGTTGTATGCCAGGAAGGGCTTCTTTCTAACAGTTAGGGACAAAAGTAGATCTTATTTGAAGCCTGTGGTTGGTTAGAATGGTCTGGAGCAGTAAATGGGAAATAAACTACAACATTCTACAACTATTGACAACCAAGTGTATATCAGACACTATTCTAGGTACTGGGGTTATACCTGTTAACAAAATTTAGTTCTTGCCTTCATGGAGTTTACATTTTAGGGGAATGAGGAAAGGCAATGAATAATTATATCAAGTAATGTTAGGTATAAATGTGGTCTGGAGAAAAAGTAAGTTAAGGTGGTAGAGCATAAAAGGAGGTATGAGAAATAAATTAATTTTCTGAAGAAATTAAATATAAATACATTTATTAAGTAAATAGATATTTGTAGAAAATTGAGTTACAGTCATTTCTCTGTATCTGCATGGGATTAATTCAAGGAGCCCCCTATGGATATCAGAATCTGAGGGTGCTCAAGCCTTATATTGTTTGCATGTAACTCATGGGTATTCTCCCCACCATTTACATTAAAGCTTGGATTATTTATAATACCAAATACAATGTACATGCCATCTAACTAGTTATACTTTATATTTTAAAATTTGTATTATTTTTTATTGTTATAGTATAATTTTTTTAAAAACTTTTTCTGAATATTTTTTAGTCTGAGGTTAGTTGAATTTGCAGGTGCTAAAGTTGCAGATACGGGGCCAACTATATGTCAGGAAGAAGAGGTTTTTTTTTTTCTTTTTTCTTTCTTTGGTACTTTCCATGATTAGTGCCTTCTACTTAGCAGGAACTTGGTAAATGTCTGTGAAATGATATCCAAGGGTTGGGCAAGGCTATTAAGTAAATAGAGGGCACAATTTTGGACTTCAAGTCTGTGATCTGGTCAGATAGAGAACTCATTCATTCATTAAGGGAAAAAAAATAGTAACACTTGAATTATTGAGTACACTGTAACATGATCCAAGCATTCATAATTTTAGTCAACCAAGGTATGTTTCTTGAAGGCAATATTTTTAAGCAAATGTACATATAGAAAAATTAAATATAAATTCAATACATACGTACAAATAGTGCATAATGATTTTTGCAAAGAGAATAACACATTTGTAATTAGCATCTAAACCAAGAAAAGACCATTGCCAGCGTCCTGGAAGCTTTTTTTATACTCGCTTCTAGTCATTAACACTCCTAAGCATTACTACTGAACTTGTAATGTCATAGATTAGCTTGTCTGTTTTTGGTATTTATTTAAATTTAATTGCAGAATTATATCAGTTGTATCTAACTTTTTTCACTGTGCATTGTGTTTGATGCTTGATTATATTGATATTTTAGTTCATTCCTTTTTGTTGCTCTCTAATATTTCATCGTGTGAATGAATTACAATTATGTGTTCTAATGTTAATGGGCAGTTGGTTAGTTTTGTGTTTTTGACTATACTAAATATACTTGTACATACATACTATTTTTGGTAAATATATACTTTGTAGTGGAATTCCTGTGTCATAGGACATACATGTGTTCATTTTTATAAATATTAACAGATATGTTTCCCAATTGTACCAGTTTACATTTTCATCACCATTGTATGAGAATTTAGGTTCTTCCACATTGTCATCAGCACTTTGTATTTTCTATTTTTTATATTATGTTATCTTAATAGGTGTCTAATTGAATTTAACACCAATTGATGAAAATACTGGATAACTAGAAATAAGGAACCTTTCTTAATCTAATAAAAAATATCTTAAAACACTTTATAGAAAATAGCATACTTAATGGTGAAATATTGAAAACTTACCTTTGAATCAGCAGTGTAACCAGGATGCCCATTTTCACAACTTCTACTCAGCATTGAATAGGAGGTCCTCCTCGTACAGTAAGTAAAGGCAAAACAAAAGGCATACAGATCAGAAAGGAGCTAGTAAAACTGTCATTGACATTACTGTAAAATATCTAGATATATGGAAATATATGAGATTTAATAAGAAAGCCTTGTGAGGTTGCTGAATAAAAGGCTGATGAGTTGATGATACTGTATTTAGCTTATAGACTTTTTGAGGTTTATCACATATTTTCAGATATATAAAAAATGATACTTGAAAGAGTTATATCTTCAAAATTACAACAGTCCCAAGAGGTCAGTAAAACTGATCATTGTTGTAAAAAGAAATAATTTCTCCACTCACTGCTTTTTAATTTTTAGTATTAAACAGAACATCTTAATATGTACATTTTTCTATCACTTAATTAAAAAGTAATTCTAAATAAGCAGTAATATGAGCCACAATTTTCTATATATAATATTCTCTTATAGTTGGTTTAAAAACACATGCCTATTAAGTCCTCAAAAAATTAGTAGCAAACCTGATTCAACAGCATATGGAAAGAATTAAACATGGTGACCAAGATAGGATTTATTTCAAGAATTCAAGGAGGATTCAATATGAAATAAATCAACATTGCAATACACTGTGTTAGCAGAGCAAAGGGGGAAGAAAAACGCATGATTAATATCAGTTGATGCAGAAAAGTATTTGACAAAATCCAAGACCGTTCATGGTTGCAACACTCAGAAAACTGAATAGAATGGAATTTTCTCAACATGGTAAAATGGCATTTATCAAAACCCACACTTAACATCATACTCAACTGTGGAAGACTGAAAGCTTTCCTCTAAGATTAGGGACAGTGATGTCTGCTTTCACCACAACTATTCAACATTGTATTAGAAGTTCTAACCAGAGCAATTAAGTAAGAGAAAGAAACTGAAAACATTTAAATTGGAAAGGAAGAAGTAAAACAGTCATTGTTCACAAATGACATTTTAGATATAGAAAATCCCAAAAAAATCAGGAAAGTTACTAGAGCTAGTAAATGAATTCAGCAATGTTGTAGGGTGCAAGATCAATATAGAAAAAATAGTTGTTTCTGTATATTTGCAATGAACAATCTGAAAAGGAAATAATGAAAGTAATTCCATTTATAACAGCTTCTAAAGCAATAAAATGCCTAGAGATCAAGGCATTTAATCAAGGAGGTGAAAGTCTTGTACATGGAAAACTACAAAGCATTGCTGAAAGAAATTTTAAAAGATCTAAATAAAAAGAAAGGCATTCCTTTTTCTTGTGTAGAAAGACATGATATCTTAAACTGTCAGTTTTACCCAAAATGATCTATAGAGTCAAGACAAACCCCATCAGAATTATAAAACTTTGTTGCAGAAATCTAAAGACCAATTCCAAATTTGTATGAAATTTCAAGGGGCTTCAAATTGCCAAAACAACCTTAAAAAAGAACCACAGAGTCTGAGTACTCTAACTTCTCAGTTTCAAAACTTATCACAGAGCTGCAGAAATCAAAACAGTGGTAGTGGCATACGATAGACAGAGATAAATAGAGTACAATTGAGTCAAGAAATAAACCCATACTTCTATCTATGGCTAAGTAATTTTTTGACAAGGATGATATGTTCAGTCAATGGGGAAAACAGTTAAATACGGAAAAGAAATAAAAGATACTCAAATTAGAAGGGAAGGAGTAAAACTATCTCTATTTAAAAATGACTGTTTTTTAAACAAATAATGAGACAACTGGATTTCCACATGCAAAAGAATGAAATTAGATTCTTACCTTATGTTATATACAAAATTTAACTCAAAGTGGATTAAGCATCTATATGTAAGAGCTAAATCTGTAAAATCCTTCAAAGATACATTAGATATGATACAAGAAGGATGAGCAACAAAGGAAAAATTGATAAATTAAGTTTCATAAAAATTTAAAAATTGTGTGCATGAAAGGACATCATGAACATGAAAATACAGGGTACAGAGTGAGAGAAAATATTTTCAAATCATCTATCTAATGAAGATTTGCTATCCAGGATATATACAGGACTTCTTAAATTCAACAACAAAAACACAAACAGTTCAATTAAAAACATAGGCAAGGATTTGAATAAGTATTTCATCAAAGAAGAAATACAAGTAGCCAATAAGTGCATGAAAAGAATTTTTAAAAAATAAAAAAATGCTTAATATCATTAGTAATTTGAGAAATGGAAATCAAAACCACTTTATACTCACTAGGATGGCTATACTAAATGAAAATACCACTTACATTCACTAGGATGGCTATACTAAAGACACATAAGAACTCATGTTCTCATATTCAAGAAGATGTGGAAATTTTGGAACCCTCATACTTTGCTGATGGGAATGTAATATGGGTTAGCCATATGGAAAATAGGTTGGTGGTTCCTCAAAAAGCAAAACGTAGAATTACCCTATGACCCAGCAATTCCACTCCTATGTGGATACCCATAAGAATTGAAAAGGGGTACTGAAACACATACTTGTATAACAGTTTTCATGGAAGCATTTTTCACAATAGCCAAGATGTGGAAACAATCCAGTGTTCATTAACAGATGAATGGATAAACAAAATGCGATATATATGCACACTGGAATATTATATAGCCATAAAAGAAATAACCTTCTGATAACATAGATGAACTTTGAAAACATGCTAAATG